GGGAAGGAGGCTTGGCTTATGTGGTGATAGAGACAGGGGCAGGGAGAAGAGGTTGCTTGCACGGAAGCAATGAGGATCAGCCAGGCCAACAGGAACGCACACACCGCAGGGAGCAACGTGCAGGGATGAGGGGGATGGCAGGGATGGGGGTGGTGTGGGGGATGGGGAGGGATGGGGGGGATGAGATAGATGGGGGGATGGCAGAGATGGGGAAGATGGGAGGAGTGATAGTAGGGATGCGAGGGATGAGAGGTATGGGGGGTATGGAAGGAATTCGAGGAATGGAAAGGAGTGGGGTGGTGACCTGAAGGCGTCTGTCGCGGCCCTGCTTGGTGCTGCCACCAGCCGAGTCCCCCTCCACGATGAACACCTCTGAAGGCCGGTGCACACGTGGTGTGGTGTGTGTTGTCGGGCATGCAAAAAGAAGGGCACGATGGAGGGATGGAGAGTTGGCAAGTGCACGTGGCAAGTTATGTGCAACCAGCAGGTGAGTGCTTTCCAGTGGTGAGCACCGTAATGTGCGATGCATGTGGTGGATGGATGTGATGCAAGGTAAGATCGTGTGGTTTGAAAGCGGAAGAGTGGCACTTGCTGTGCAGGCCGGTGCTGCCATGACTGGCGATTTACCCTCCTCTGGCAGCAGCTACCCCCTCACATGGTCTGACACGGGACGTATTAGCGTCACAATGTGCTGTGCATGGATAGACAGAGTGGTATGCAGATTCACCAAGTCATGCACTTGTGCTTCCCTCAGCTCCGCAGCTAGATCAACCGACGTGACCTGGCCTTCACAGCAACCTGCCAGGTCGGGGAAGCAGCATCACGAGCTGCCCTTTAGGCACCAACCATGCCCACAGATCCATTCCATCAACCCATGGCACCTGCCAGGCGCACCTGACTTGGCGGGGTCTTCACACGAGCAGTCCGCCAGCTTGCCCGGCAGCATGGCCGACTTCAACACACTCTTCCGCCGAACCAGCTCCCGAGCTTTCTTCGCTGCTTCGGCAGCCTGTCAGGCATGGGAGGGGCAGAAGCAGGGAACTCCCATTTTACATGTCAGACATTTGCGGCTTTGCAGAGCACACTGAGTGAATGGCACGGTGTGAGTACAGGTCGCCATCCCCATGAGTGAGCCAGCAATTGGCTGCATGGCAACACCGAGTGGTCGTCATCACCTCTGATCATGTGCACGAGAGCAATGGCACCCCATGAATGGACGGAACAGCTTTGGTAGGCACGAGGGTTTGCATACTCTACGTGTTAGTGAGTGGTTTCAGACAAGAGGGCTAAGACCACGATGAGTGGTGAAGAGACACCTGTTACCAGACATTCTGGACGACTTGTAACATAGGGTCTAGCCTCCAGCATCCAACAGCCACGCAGCATGGACACACCTGCCTTGTCGAAACCCAAACCCACCTTGTAGGCGTCGAGTGCCTTGCTAAGAATGGCTTCACACGCTGCCGGGTTGGCGTCCAGGAACGCTGCCAGCGCGTCGCTCACCACCCCGTCCACCACCTTCCTCACCCCTGGATTGCCCAGCCGCGTCTGATGCACACACATGCGCACACACACACACACACACACACACACACACACACACACACACACACACACACACACACACACACACAGGGGAAGGTGATGCGAGGGAGAGAGTGAAAGGTACGTTCCGAGGAGAGGAACTGATTGAATCCCAGCTGCATTACCCGTCTCCCTCACCCTCCACTCGCTCAGCCAACCTTCTATTCATGGATTCATCTTCTCTCTTGTGTCAACGGTGGGAGCGAGGCAGGGCCCCTTGGCTAGTACTTAAGCCCGTGAGCTATGCTCTCCACCATCCCCTCTCCCTCACCCTCCACTCGCTCATCTCGCCTTTCTCCCCCCATCACCTTGGACCGCCCACCTTGGACCGCCCACCTTTGTCTGGCCTTCGAACTCGGGGTTGGCCACTTTAACGGCCACCACACACGTGAGCCCCTCCCTCAGGTGCTCGCCTGCCAGGTTCTCCTCCTTCTCCTGCCACGAACATGCACGCAGGGGACAGGGCAGGCAGGGCGAGGGCAGGCAGGGAGAGGGCAGGCAGGGCGAGGGCAGGCAGGGAGAAGGCAGGCAGGGAGAGGGCAGGCAGGGAGAGGGCAGGCAGGGAGAGGGCAGGCAGGGAGAGGGCAGGCAGGGAGAGGGCAGGCAGGGAGAGGGCAGGCAGGGAGAGGGCAGGCAGGGGAGAGTGATGGCAAGGGAAAAGGGGCACAGATGAGCAGAGGCGCACAAGGAGCCTGAAAAATGGAGCATGTTACTATTTTTTCCACGTGACTACCACTCGCTCTGAGCAGGCCTGCTTGTAGCCTTGACGTTGCTCAGCCACCCACCTTGAGCAGGCGTTGCTTCCTGGCGGCAGCGTTGAGGGTGCGGGTGAAGGCGGCCTTGGCGCCGTCGATGTGAGTGCCGCCATCGGAGGTGCGGATGCTGTTGGCATACCCCACCACGCTGTCGCTGTATGCGTCCCCGCTCCACTGCCACGCCACCGCCACGCCCACGCCATCCCTCTCCTCCTCCACCCACTGTGCCTCGTGCATTGGCGTCTGCGGTTGGTTATGCGTGTATATGCGTGCATGGCAGGGCAGGGGTGGAGAGGGGTGTGCAACGGTAAGAGTGGATGACAAGCGAGGGAAGGATGAGTGCTTGGTTCACCACTCGTACGAGGCAAGCGGATGAGGCGAGCTGTGCCCACTCAGACCTGAGCTCCATTTCGCGTAGGGGAATTCAAGCTTTCACCCGTGCACGCCGCCTCCATCTTTTCCTCCACTCATAGTACCTCATACACTGTCGTCTGCAATCGTGCCATAGCCATCCCATGCCCACATGCGCTCTCATGCCCACGTGGCATCCCATCCCTCACGCCAAACAGCCCACCTTCTCGCTGTTGAGCCCACCTTCTCGCTGTTGAGCCAGCGCACGAACTCCAGCAGCCCACCCGCAAAGTGGAAGTCCGCTGACCGCCCCCCCTCCTCCTTCAGGTGAATCACCACCTGTGGCGGGGGGGGGGCATGGGGGAGAGGGGTGGCAGGAAGGAGTGTGGAGAGGAACGAGGGGCATGAAGGGGGGGAAGGGGTCGGCAATAGGTGTCGGAAAGGAAAGAGACGGAAAGGAGAGGATGCGGGCGCGGTCAAGCTGCAAAGTGGAAGGCGACTGACTGACCGCCGTGTTCCAACCTTGTCCAGGCTGCATCATGGCGTGACTGTGACTCGAACTTGCATGTGTGACGTGACGCACGCAGTGAATGCTGAGTGAATTCACTATCACGCGTGCACTAACTGAACTAGCGCTCGTATGTGGCGGTCATGAGGGGCTTGGCTAGAGCAAGCAGGCACTGCCTGTGGATCGAGGGCTCTACCAGCATGGGACAGAATTGCGGCCCTTGATGTGAGAGGGTTTCAGGTTAGTGCGGGGCTCGTGTAGACAAGTCAGAACCAGCAGAGGCGGCCAGACGGGGAAGAGGCGGCAGAGGGGGCAATGGGATTGCTTGCCTGCGGGTTGAGGAAGGCGAGCTCTCTGAGGCGCGCCGCTATGGTGGTGAAGTCCAGCGCCGTGGTCGTGGTGAACACTGCCGGGGGAGGCGAGGCGAGGGAGGGCGGGACGAGTGGAAATGGGGCATGGGGAATGGGTGACAGGGGGGTGCCAATGGCAGCGATGCTGGTGCACACTGCAAGGAGCGGCGAGAGCCAGCATAGACATACGAGCGGGATACGGGTGATGCCGATGTGGTATTGGTGGTGGTGAACTGAACCCCGCAAGGAGGGAAAGGGACGAGAGGAATGGTTGGGCGATGAAGTGAAAGACGGTGACGGTGGTAAGCAGTGCAGGATGCGCAGGAGCATGGGTGGCGGGGGAAGGAGAAGCGTGTGGTAGACGGGGTTTCGTGGTGATGCAAAAGGCGGTGGTGGTGGTGGTGAAGACTGCAGTGAGATGGAGAGAGGAATGGACACAGGGCTAGGGGATACAGGTGGGGGCACACAGGGGATGTCAGTAACAATGGTGGTGGTGAAAACACTGCTGCACGGAAGGGGACGCGGCTCCTTGAATTAGCATCGAGTGCCATGTGGTGAGGTCGAGCAATGGGGTGTGGTGAAGAATGAAAGCGAGGGTTGGAAGTGAAGTCCATGCAGCACGGGAGTGGAAGATGGATGGCAAATAAGCACCATGGTGGTGGTGGGTACACCATTACATGCAGGGTGTTAGTGCCATGACTGCAGCATGAATGGACGGTGAAAGGAAGAGATGGGAGTGTGGTAAACAGGGCACGAGTCATGCTCACCGCAACAAATTACACAAGACTCAAAAAGCATACGTGTTGATATAGGCAGAATATGAACAACTCATTACACAAGAAGAGACATCTCTTAGCTAAGCACCAGTGGTTGCAGCACCTGTGGGGTCTGGCAGGAAGTGTATTTGAGTGCCTGTGCGCTGCGCCTCCCCCTCGTGTGCCCCTGCACCCCCCTCCTCCTCCACCCTCATCCCCCCCACGGGGACGCCCCTCTCAAACCGCTGTGAGTACTGCCGCCCGTCCCGCCACACGCGTGCTTCCAGCCACTGCAGGGGGCCATGAGGGATGGTGTGGAGGTGGCTCCATGTGAGTATTGGCAGACCAGAGAGATGTTTCAAGCTAGTGATGGGGAATGGATAGGAAGAGTATGGTACATGGTACCCACTGCGTCGCATGGCACCTGAGTGGCACCTGAGTGGCACCTGACTGAGTGGCACCTGAGTGGCACCTGACTGAGTGGCACCTGAGTGGCACCTGAGTGGCACCTGAGCGGCACCTGACTGAGTGGCACCTGAGTGGCACCTGAGTGGCACCTGAGAGAGAGCGTTGACGACCGACACTCCCACGCCGTGCAGCCCCCCCGACACGCGGTAACCGCTTGAGTCGCCCCCGAACTTGCCGCCCGCATGCAGCACCTGATGTTGGGGGAGGCGAGAGAGGCGGTGCGTGGAGGAGGAAGGTACGCGCTGAGTCGAGGCTGAGGGTTGAATCGAGGTCATGCCGACTTGGCGAGAGGAAGGTGTGGATCACATAGGGATGAGGGATGGGGTGGGTAAAGGGAGCGGGCGCAACAACAGCCCATGCAGGAGGCTAGACATGGAGCATGCAGAGTTGGAAGATGGAAGGCAGATGAGGGGCGGCGAGTGCGTGACTCACTGTGAGCACGGTCTCCAGTGCGGACTTGCCCGTTGATGGATGGATATCTGTTGGAATCTGCATGGCCCATCAACACACACGTCCACAAAGGCAAACAAACCAGGCCACCAACGGATGAGAATGAAGAGTGAATAACCAGGAAGGAACACACACACACACACGTTAGTTGGAGGACTGGAGCTGGCCCTAGCCCATGAGAGTGATCTCGGTACTCGCCCTTGAGGCATGGCACAATAATACGGACCCTTTGATCCACCCTGCTACCATCGCCTGCAATGCACACACTTACTGATCCACACACTACCATTGTACTTTTCTAACCCTTATACCCTGAACCCGAAACCCTACTCTCACACATACTCATTCCAGCAACATGGGCAGCGCACAGGCACAGAGTGGCCTGGTGACTGTAACCCCTTGCCCTACCCCAGCCCGCCCTCAATTCCATTCTCCAGCCAGCCCTGAGCCATGCGCCCTGCCCTGAGCGCACAGCCGCTCACCCCGCGGCCGTTGTCAGTGACGCACACGGAGCCGTCCGACCCCAGCAGCACGGCCACGGTGCTCGCATGGCCCGCCTGCGCCTCGTCGATGGCGTTGTCCACCACCTCGTACACCTGCCATCATGCATGCATGCACGGGGGGGACAGGCGGGAAGGTGGGAGGTCAACCCATGTCCAAGCACCTCATGCCCCCCCCCCTCAGGGTTTACGGTTGGTTCAGAGTTTGGGTTTCGGGTTAAGAGTGGTGCAAAGCGGTTGGCTCTCACCAGGTGGTGTGGAGCGGTGTAAGGCAGTGGGCTCACCAGGTGGTGCAGATCGGTGCAAGGCAATGGGCTCACCAGGTGGTGCAGAGGGGTGCAAGGCGGTGAGCTCACCAGGTGGTGCAAGGCGGTGGGCTCACCAGGTGGTGCAAGGCGGTGGGCTCACCAGGTGGTGCAAGGCGGTGGGCTCACCAGGTGGTGCAAGGCGGTGGGCTCACCAGGTGGTGCAAGGCGGTGGGCTCACCAGGTGGTGCAAGGCGGTGGGCTCACCAGGTGGTGCAAGGAGGTGGGCTCACCAGGTGGTGCAAGGAGGTGGGCTCACCAGGTGGTGCAAGGCGGTGGGCTCACCAGGTGGTGCAAGGCGGTGGGCTCACCAGGTGGTGCAAGGAGGTGGGCTCACCAGGTGGTGCAAGGAGGTGGGCTCACCAGGTGGTGCAAGGCGGTGGGCTCACCAGGTGGTGCAAGGCGGTGGGCTCACCAGGTGGTGCAAGGAGGTGGGCTCACCAGGTGGTGCAAGGCGGTGGGCTCACCAGGTGGTGCAAGGCGGTGGGCTCACCAGGTGGTGCAAGGAGGTGGGCTCACCAGGTGGTGCAAGGCGGTGGGCTCACCAGGTGGTGCAAGGAGGTGGGCACACCAGGTGGTGCAAGGCGGTGGGCTCACCAGGTGGTGCAAGGCGGTGGGCTCACCAGGTGGTGCAAGGCGGTGGGCTCACCAGGTGGTGCAAGGAGGTGGGCTCACCAGGTGGTGCAGGCCACGGGGCCCGGTGCTGCCGATGTACATGCCTGGCCGCCGCCGCACCGGCTCCAACCCCTCCAGCACCTGCCCCATGGTGGTAGGGGAGTGGGTGGGTGGGTGGGGACGTGATGTGAGTCACAGTGACACCACGTTGTGAGATGCGTTGCACTGCCAGGGAAAAGGCAAGCGTTGCGTCGAGAACAGAGGCAAGAGAGAGCACGGTGGTTGGGGGCCGTCATCTCATACCCTTCATTGTCGTCACCTATCCCTCAACTTCCTCTACTCCACCCAACACCACTCCCTCCTGCATCCGTCTCACCTGAATGTGCTCCGCGCCGTAGCTCGATCTGCTCTTCTTCCCCGCCCTCGCCTTGCCCCGCCCCTCCTTCCCCCCCTCTGCCCCCCCGGATGCGCTGGCCCGCACGGCCTCCGTGCCGCCATCCTTCCCCTCCGCCGTCCGCAACTGCGCGTCTGCTGCGCCGCTACCCGCGCCGATGGACACACCCCTTATTGCGCCGATTCCTGCGCCCCCGTCTCCGCTGCGGGCGGAGGCCAGCAGCTGCCTTTCGCTTCCGCCAATCCCCGCGAGCGCCCTGGGCGCGCACAGTGATGCGCGGAAGCTCCGCGCGGAGCTGGGAAGGTCAAGGTGCCGCGCGGAGGCCGCGGAGGGGCTACATAGTAGGGCCGCGCGGGATGTGTGCGCGGGGAATCGGCGAAGTGAAGGCAACAGGATGCCGGCACGCGCAGTGGGAGCAAGGCGCGCGGAGGAAGAGAGACGCGCGGCGGCAGCGCGGATGGCGGAGGGGCGGCGGAAGGAGGCAGCGAGCACGGCCCTGCGGTAAAGGGCCATGCCCATGGCGGGCTGCAACAAGTAACAAAAATCGAAGAGTCGGATATAAGGCGGAGGCGGTGGGCGTAAGTGGTGTTATGGGCAGATTGACAGGTTGGGGGATGATACGACGCCTAGGTATTGTCGGGGTTGAGAGAGTAGTCCATGGCGGCTAGAAAAAGGATCATCGATGGATGGGCGTGGGAGAGAATTCAGTGTTGGAAAGCGAATCCATGCGTGGAATCTGGGTTCAAAAAGCGATACGGTTTGGGGTTGTGCAGCAAGCGGATAGTGCGTAACCGAGTATGGAGGTTGGGTAAACAGTGAAGCCTATATAACAAATCAATTATCTTTGAAAAGCCTAAAGGATCTAGGTAGCGAGGATTGCACTAAGTGTCAAACGAGTACAGGATGTGAGCAAAGGCATGAGCGAACATTTATACGCGAAACATGCAAGCGGTAACGCGGTGTGTGCGAGCTAGCTAGTGCTAGGCTAGCATCGAGGCTCGGGCTAGTCCCGAAGCGTAGGCCGACACGGCCGGGCCAGCGGTGCATGGTTTGGTGAAACAGTGCGCGCGAAGTCGCGAAGCCCCGTTAGCAGTAACGGGTGAACAACGGCTGCTGCTGTACGCGATGTTGCGGGATGCGCTAAGGAATGTCGAGAAAATTCCTTACACTACCTCCCCCCTCAAGAAGCCCCCTCCGCTACGCGAGTGCGTGTGTATCGCAGAAAACCCGGCTCCTCAGGTACACTTGCAGGGTAGGGTGGTTTTCGATGTTGGCCAGGGGCACCCAGCTATCCTCAGTTGGCGTGCGGTCCTTCCAGCGAATGAGGAGCTCAATCCTCCTGATTCCCGTAGGGTGTCGAATACTGTTAAGATGCAAACTTAGTAGCTTAGTAAACCTAGGTTTAGGAACCATAGCTAGAGTAGCAAGGTGTCAGAACTATATTGTAGGCTGTAGTGGGGTAGACAATATGGGGTACAACTCTTTTAGGTTTTCATACTTGTACCCACCTGATTACTAGTTCATTCATTCCTCGTACTATTCTCACATGGTAGAGAGCGGGTTCCCTAGTGGGACCGTTTCTTCAAAGGGCCCACCACTTCAATTTTTTTTTCCTGCCCTGCCCGAAGCGCGCTCCTGCCCCTGTCGCGCGCCTCGCGTCTCCCTCACCTGCGCCCCGTGCGCTTATCCTGCTGTCGTGGCCATGCCTGGCGTTGTCGCGCCCCTGCCGTCGCGGCCCCTGCCGTCGCGACCCCTGCCGCCGCGGCCTCCTGCCGTCGCGGCCCCTGCCGTCGCGGCCCTGCTGAAGCCTTCGCGGCCCCGCCCTGCCGTCGCGGCCCTGCCCTGCCGTCGCGGCCCTGCCGCCCTGCCGTCGCGGCCCTGCCGCCCTGCTGTCGCGGCCCTGCCGCGCTGCCATCGCAGCCCTCCCTGAAGCCGCCCTGCTGTCGCGGCCCTGCCTGGAGCCGTTGCGGCCCTGCCTGCTGCCGCAACGGCCCATCCTACTGCCGCTGTTGCGGCCTTGCCTACAGCTGCCGTCGCTGCGGCCCTACCCTGCGCCCGCATCACCGCCCTACACTGCCGCCTCGTCGCGACCCTGCCTGACGCGGCCCTGACCTGCCAGCGCGCCACGGCCCTGCCTTTCCAGCTAAGGCCCTACCTCAATCCCGCCCTGGTAAGCGCACTGCTGCACCCGCGCCGCCCTGCCGAGCCGCGACGCCCTGCCGAGCCGCGCCGCCCTGCCGAGTCGCGCTGCTCTTGCTGCTGCTACTACTGCTACTGCTACTGCTGCCATGGCTACCCCTAATGTGCTTACCTTCGATGCTGAGGGTCGGGCAGTTGATTTCGAGGTCTGGGTCGATGATCTGCAGCTGTTTCTACAGTGCAATAGCAAGGACGGAGTCTCGCTTTTTGATCTCACGTCTGGCGCCTCTGCTGCACCTGCTGCCGATGCTGACAGTGCTCTTCGCTCGCAGTGGACCACGCGTGATGCTGCTACCCGTCTTGCTATTCGTAGTCACCTGTCGTCTGCTGAGTGTCAAAGTTATGTTTAATATATCCTGCTTTCTGTAGTTACTATAGTGTAGTTATTTGATTGTTTGCTTGGTGGTGCACCTGTTTGTTTGATATATGTACCTTTGGTCCTATAGTGAACCCAACCATTCTCGACACATTCTCACTTTCTCTTGGCCACGATTCTCTCGACACCCGCTTGGCCTAGGCTTCTAAGCCTAGGCCCTAAACCCAGTTCCTAGTTAACTTAGTATTGTAACACTTACTAACCCCCACATCCCCACCCCCAATCAACCACCCTCCTTCAACCTCACCCCCCATTTCAGCCGCCCCCTGGAACCGCACCCCCTCCCTCCCTTCCTTCCTCCACACCCCTGCCCCACTCACAGTTGTCTCTGCCCTGTCCTTCATACGGCAGCCAGCCCTCCCACCCCCCCGTCCCTGCTACCAACCCCCCACACTAGCAGCCGCGGGAGGGGAGAGGCAGGGCAGAGGGTGGTTCTCTGCTGGCGGGGTTCTCTGCTGGCGGGGTTCTCTGCTGGCGGGGTTCGCTGCTGGCGGGGTTCTCTGCTGGCGGGGTTCGCTGCTGGCGGGGTTCTCTGCTGGCGGGGTTCTCTGCTGGCGGGGTTCTCTGCTGGCGGGGTTCTCTGCTGGCGGGGTTCTCTGCTGGCGGGGTTCTCTGCTGGCGGAGTTCTCTGCTGGCGGGGTTCTTTTCTGGCAGGGTGCTGGTGCTGGCGGCTGGCGCTGGTGCTGGTTCCTGGTGCTGGCGGCTGGCGGTGGTGCTGGTTCCTGGTGCTGGCGGCTGGCGCTGGTGCTGGTTCCTGGTGCTGGTTCCTGGTGCTGGTTCCTGGTGCTGGTTCCTGGTGCAGACAGACTCAGACTCAACGACAAAAAAATTTCGTGGTGGTGGGCCCTAGGAATCGTTCCCACTAGGGAACCTGCTCGATACCATGAGAAGAAACGAGGAATGAAATGACTAAGTGAAAGTTGGGTACAAAAAGCAAACCCTAGAAAACTGTACCCCATATGTGCTACCCCACTATAGCCTACAGTAGCTATGTCATATAAATCTGACAGCTGGTGCTGGCGGCTGGCGCTGGTGCTGGTTCCTGGTGTTGGCGGCTGGCGCTGGTGCTGGTTCCTGGTGCTGGCGGCTGGCGCTGGTGCTGGTTCCTGGTGCTGGCGGCTGGCGCTGGTGCTGGTTCCTGGTGCTGGCGGCTGGGGCTGGTGCTGGTTCCTGGTGCCTGGTGCTGGTGCCTGGTGCTGACGGCTGGTGCTGGTGCTGGTGCCTGGTGCCTGGTGCTGGTGCCTGGTGCTGATGGGGCGCGACGGGTGGGACGAGCTGGAGACGGGCTACAGGCTATGCGGGATCTGACGGTAGGAGGCGCGCAAGCGCCGGTGCGATCGCTGATGCTCTGGCGGTGATCGCTGGTTTTCCGCCGCCACTCCCTTCCCCTTTTTCCTCTCTCCCCCACAGCATTTCGCCGCCACTCCCTTCCCCCTTTCGCTCTCCCCCCACAGCGTTCCGCCGCCAATCCCTTCCCCTCCTCCCTCTTCCACCCACAGCGTTCCGCCGCCAATCCCTTCCCCTCCTCCCTCTCCCCCCCACAGCGACCGCCGCTGCACACGCGAACACTCGCGACGGGGGGGGGGGGGGGGTGACGGGCAGGGGGCCGGGGGAATGCGACAAGCGGAGCAAGGCGACGGGAGGGACGAAAACAGGACGGGGGGGGAAGGGCCGCGGCGACCGCAACGCCGTCCCCTTCATTCCCGATGCCGCCCCCCCCGCCCATTCCCACTCTCGCGCAAACTCGGCAGCAGGCGTAGGCGCGGGTAGAGGTGGTGACGGCGGGGGGGAAACGCGACGGGCTGACGACGAGGGAAACGCGACGGGCTGGCGACCGGGGTGTCAACATATATTTTATATGTGTTGTTTAGGTTAGTCTAGGTGTTACATTTGTACTTACTTGCATGATTAGGGTTTGCTATATCTAGGGTTGTACTTCACATTTTCTATCAATTCATTCTTATCGTAACATGGTATAGAGCTAGGTTTCCCTTAGGCGATTTTTCCCCTAGGCGATTTTTTCCCTTAGGCGAAATTTCTCTCGATAGTCTATGGGCCCACCACCCGCGCGCCTCGTAGCGACCCATAGCCCGAAGCGCCCTGCCCCGTAGAGCCCGAGTAGGTCGCGCCCCCCGTCGACATCGCGCGTCACCCGTTTCTGCCCTGCGCCCCACCCGTTTTTTGCCGAGCGTCACTCGGTTTTTAGCCCCGCGCCCCACTCGTTTTACCCCGCGTGTTGCCCCCCAGTCCTCTAGCGCGCAGCAGACGAACGCACGTAGCTGCGCGCGCAGCCTTAGTCGCACCCGCAGCTCCGCGCTAGTACGTCGTAGCCGCGCGCACGTGCAGCCCACCGTCGTAACCGGCCCCCAGACCTGAAATCCCCCTCAGAACCGCACAGAACCGCCGCCTTAACAGCTTCCCCACCTGAAAACCGCCGCCCCAGACCTGACAACCGCCGCCCCACCTGGAAACCTGCTGCCCCACCCGTTCCAGGCACCTCACCCGGGATCAGCCGCCCCACCCAGTCCTCTCCACCGCATTGAACCGCACAGACCTGCACATAACTGCACAGAACCGCACAGAACCGCCGCCTTAACAGCTTCCCCACCTGAAAACCACCGCCCCAGACCTGACAACCGCCGCCCCACCTGGAAACCTGCTGCCCCACCCGTTCCAGGCACCTCACCCGGAATCAGCTGCCCCACCCAGTCCTCTCCACCGCATTGAACCTCACAGAACCGCACAGTACTGCACATAACCGCACAGAACTGCACAGAATCGCCGCCTCACCCGTAGCCCGCTGCCTTAACAGCTTCCCCACCTGAAACCTGCCTCCCCACGATCTACCACACCCGCCGTCAGTAGCCCCAGCCGATTACACTGCCGCCAGCTACACCAGCAGCAGCATAGGCTGCCCCCAGCGCACCAGCAGCAACGTAGGCTGCCCCCAGCAGAACCAGCAGAACCAGCAGAACCAGCAGAACCAGCAGCAGCATAGGCTGCCGCCAGCACACTAGCAGCAGCATAGGCTGCCCCCAGCGCACCAGCAGCAGCGTAGGCTGCCCGCAGCAGAACCAGAAGCGGCATAGGCTGCCACCAGCGCACCAGCAGCAGCATTGGCTGCCCCCAGCAAAACCAGTAGCAGCTAAGGCTGCCCCCAGCAGAGCCAGAAGCAGCATAGGCTGCCCCCAGCGAACCAGCAGCAGCATAGGCTGCCGCCAGAGCACCAGCAGCAGCAGCATAGGCTGCCCCCAGCGCACCAGCAGCAGCATAGGCTACCGCCAGCGCACCAGCAGCAGCTTAGGCAACTGCCAGCGCACTAGCAGCAGCATTGGCTGCCCCCTGGAGAACCAGTAGCAGCCTAGGCTGCCTCTCAGCAGAACCAGAAGCAGCACAGGCTGCCCCCAGCGCACCAGCAGCAGCTTAGGCTGCCCCCAGCAGAACCAGCAGCAGCATAGGCTCACATGGCATGTACTAGGGTTCTACAGCAGCAGGGCCAGCCGCAGCACTCCCGTCAGTGGGGGCCTGCGGGTCCAAAGTGTGGCGCCCCCAGCAGTGGCTCAGCTAGCAGTGGGCGAGACGTCGGCCCCTGCGGGTACCGGGCCCTGACAGGCCCTGGTGCTGGCACTACCTGCTGGAGTCCTGACCACACTGCGTCCAGCTGCTACCGTCGACTCGACGACCTCCACCGTGAGCGTTTTGGTCCTCACGCTATTACACCGCACTGGCCTTCGCGCCTTCGCCAGCGCACTACTGCACCAGTTGAGTCTCACCTGCCTGGTCTAGGACCCTTTCCGGCTGCACGAGTAGAGACCTGTGTTTCCAGTCTTGGTGCGTGTGTTGTTTCCAGTCCCGGCGCCTCTGAGGGTCTTTGTGTAGAAGCTGCAGCTACCACTAGTCTAGCACTAGCCTTTGTAGCTGGTTCGGGTGCGACCCCACAGACTGCACAGCTTTCCTTCACCCTAGATTCTGGAGCGTCCAGCTGTTTCTTTCGCGACTGTACCGACCTCACACCACTGCGCACTCCAGTCACTGTCGCCTCGGCTGACCCCTCTGTGGGACGTGTAGTTGCTAGCAGCACCACCACTCTTCCGTGTCCGGCGGCTCCCTCAGGTTTTCTTACAGGTTACTACACCCCCTCGTTCTCTAGGAACCTGGTGGGTGTCAGTCACCTTCACGACCTAGGCGTAGTCACTACTTTCCCACTGGACGAGCCTGTTGCCTCCTGCACTGTCGGTGCCACTGGGGCGCCCCTGGCCACATTCCACAGAGAGCCGGGATCTGGTCTGTACTCACTACACACTGGGTCCCACCACACTGAGTCGGGTCAGGTCGGGTTAGGTCAGGTAGCTGCTGTGTCGTGTGACTGTCGGTCCCTCACCCACCCGTCGGTCCTCTAGCACCACCGTCTAGGTCACCCGTCGTTCCCGCGTCTCAGTAGGATGGCACGTTACCGTCTGGTCTCAGGTCTCCCAGGGTCGCTTGCACCGCTTCCCCGCTCGCCTGCGCCGCTGTGCACTCCTTGCGTCGAGGGTCGGCAGCGCGCTGCCCCTCACTCCTCCTCGTTCCCCCCCACCACGGCTCCCTTCGAGACCCTGCACTTGGACGTCTGGGGCCCCTCTCCGGTCCTTGGCCCACGTCAGGAGCGCTACTTCCTGATTGTGGTGGACGACTACTCCCGCTACACCACGGTTTTCCCCTTGCGACGGAAGGCCGACGTGCCTACCGTCCTCGAGCCGTGGCTACTAGCGTGGGGTGGCGCCCAGGGCCTGTGTGGGCTTCGCCTACACTCGGACCGTGGTGGTGAGTTTTCTTCCACTCGCCTGGAGACGTTCTGTCAGGGTCGGGGGATCATCCAGTCTTACACGCTACCAGCATCACCGCAGCAGAACGGGGTAGCCGAGCGACGCATCGGCCTGGTCATGGAGGTTGCCCGGACCTCCATGTGCCATGCCGGTGCCCCCCAGTTCTTGTGGCCCCAGGCAGTCCGCTACGCCGCGCACCAGCTGAACCTGTGGCCCAGTGACGCACGGCCAAGGGTGACGCCGGTCTCCCTTTGGACAGGTTCTCCGGGCGTAGCAGCTGACTTCCGCGTCTGGGGTTGTCTGGCTCACGTTCGCGCCCCTGGCGCGAACAAGTTGTCTCCACGCACCCGTGCCTGCGTCTTTCTTGGCTTCCCTTTGGACGCCTCCGGCTGGGTGTTCTACGACCCGGTCACCTACCAGTTCTTCGCTTCGCAGGACGTCACGTTCGACGAGTCTGTCTGTTACTACAGGAGTCGCCCCCACCGAGGTACTGAGGCCTTTTCCCCCCCGCTGTTCCTCACCCTTGAGCCCCCACCAGTCGCCCCGGTAGCCCCCCCCCCCTTCGCGTCCTGCCCCGTCAGGTGTGTCGCACGTCACTCCGCAGTCTTCCCCCCCGCAGCGTCCAGTCCCTGTCGTGTCTGGGGGTGCGGGAGGTGCAGTTGCGGAGGGTGAGGGTACTGGGGCTGCAGGAGCTGGTGGTGTCGGCTCTGGGGGTGCAGGGGTTGTGGGCGTGGAGGTCACTCCTGTGGAGGACACGGCAGCCTCGACTCGGCGGCCTCGCCCTGCCTCACCCCCTGGCTTCCCGTCCGTCCCGCAGTTTCCTCCTCCTTCTTCTCTGCGGTCGGTTGCTGCGGAGCCTGGGGGTGTTCCTGCGGGAGGTACTGGAGGCCCCGGGGGTGTCGGTGGTGGAGGTGCTGGTTCTGGGGGTGCTGGAGCTGGAGGCACTGGCACTGTGGCGCCTACACCGCGCTGTGTACGTTTCCTGACCCGTGAGCAGCGTCTCCTCCGGTTGGAGAGGGAGGAGCGTGAGCGATTTGAGAGGGCACAGCAGCAGCAGCAGCAGCAGCAGCAGGAGAGAGTAGAGGAGACAGCAGCAGCACGAGAGGGTAGCGCAGGAGTCCCGGTCGCAGCAGCGGGTGCAGCTGCAGCCGCAGCAGGAGAGGGTAGAGGAGGAGTTACGGCCACACCAGGAGAGGGTAGAGCAGGAGTCCCGCCCGCAGCAGCAGGTGCAGTTACAAACACAGCAGGAGAGAGTAGAGGAGCAGTCACGGCCGCACCAGGAGAGGGTAGAGCAGGAGTCCCACCCGCAGCAGCAGGTGCAGTTACAGACGCAGCAGGAGAGAGTAGAGGAGGAGTCACGGCAGCAGCAGGAGAGGGTAGCGCAGGAGTCCCGGTCGCAGCAGCGGGTACAGCTGCAGCCGCAGCAGGAGAGGGCAGAGGCGGAGCCACAGGAGCAGCAGCAGGGGTACGCGTCGGTCTACACAGGGGTACTCCTTTAGCCTCGGGGCAGGTGCTGTTTTGTGGCGGTCGACTCGGGCGTCGTCCGTCGCCGGTTCCAGCTGTGAGGCAGAGGTGTACGCTGCGGCCATGGCCGCTCAGGAGCTTTGCTGGCTGTCTTTCCTTCTCACCGACCTTGGTGAGCGGCCTCGCTCTCCCCCAGTCTTGTTCGCCGACAACAGGTCTGCTGTCCTGTTGTGTGAGGAGCCCTGACTGGTTGGGAAGGCGAAGCACATCCAGCTTCGTTACTTCCTTCTGCGTGAGTTGCAGCAGCGTGGACAGGCACTCGTTCG